CCCCTGACCCCTGCAGGGAGGCAGGACAAAGCAGCCTGGGCCCTTGGTTTGCCCATCCAGGCAATGGGAGTGTGGGAACTGTCTACCAGAGTCCTGGGACCCTCCTTCCTTGTCCCACTTCTCTGAGCTCTTCCTGACCCCAAGTGCTTCCACCAGGCCAGCCCCTATCTCCTACACAGCAAACACGCTGCTCCCACAGTAGCAGGGTTTCCACCCCTCCTACCCCCCCAGCCTTTCCCGTCCTCCACCAGCATCATGCCCCCCCCATCTAGGACTGACATCCCCAGCCTGTTGACGGATTTCTCCCAGGTCTGTACCCATGTTCACTCTGAGATTACCCCAGACCCTGGAGCTGGTGTGGGGCAGAGCTAAGGACCCTGGCTTTCAACCATGCAGTGGGCATGTCCCAAGCCCTGGGCAGGTGTGGGTCAGGACCCGTGAGAGGCTACTTGATAAGGGGCTAGGGAGGCAAACTCCCCAGCAAGAGCCACAGACCAGGTCCCCAACTTGCAAAGACAGCTCAGCTTGAGGTAGGACATCTTCCCAAACCACTGATTAGCAAATACTAGCCACCAACCTCAGCTTCCTCCTGACCCCACCAGTTCCATGGCTCTACCTGCCTCCCCTGACCTCGAGGCACACCCTAGGGGTTCAGGACAACCGGCCACAGCCACAACCTATGGTGGGAGCACAGGCTCACCCAAGAGGTGGGGACACTGCCCATGCAGCTAGGGTGACTAACCCAGTTAGCACAGCCCAGAAAGTTCTCCACCCATCCTCTTGCGTGTCCTCCCTTTTGGGTTATTATCCTCATGACACACCCTGCCCCCTCCCCCCACCACCCCAAACACCCTAGGAGGAACCAGGTCCTGAAGTCCAGCACGCCTCAACTGTGCAAAGGTGCACACACAAGAAAAGCACTCGGAGCCAAGCTGGCCTGGAGAGAGGCTGCCAACGCATGGGTTCCCACTGGCCCTGCCCTGAGAGGACCTGCAGGGAGGGAAAGGGCTCCATCATCCCCACATGTCACAGCCATCCCCTGGTCATGTCTTGGTAGGCATGTGAGGACAGGCAGTGCCAGCCGGACTTTCATCACAGAGCCCAGTGACTTCCGGAGGCTTAATTATACAGATGGATTTTCTGGGTTTTAATTAAAAATTCTTTAGGTTTTGAACCAAAGTCTACAAATTAGAGTCAATTTCCACCGTGGATCTAAAGAAGCAAGGCTGCTGTGTGGCCAAGAAGAGGCAGCCACACTGATGTGGTGGGGTGCCGCGGTGCTGCCTGAGGCCTAGCCACAGAGGGGCAGAGGGCCTGGGTCCACAGCTTCCTGAGATGGTCTCTCCCATGGGACCCTGTAGCCAGGAAGGCTCTGCCCAGATCTGGAGGCTGAAAGAAGGGCAGAGAGCCCCCTGATCCACATTCCTTGACCACTCTGGGCCTTGCCCAAACAGGCCCCAGGGACCTCCCCCAGCCTAACAGGCCCCTGGTGTCCAGCCTGGGCAAGGTGGGGCCTGGAGTGATTCTCCACAGGGTGGCCTGTCTCACACCCAGGCCAGGGGCTTGTAATGAGAAATGGGGCCCCAGAGAAGCTTGGAGAGGGTCCCAGAGCTGGAGATCCCCATCAGCAGTAGGGGTAGAGGTCCCCTCAAGTGCCATATTCCTCTGTGGGTCCCACATTCCAACTCAAAGCCCCCCCAGCATTCAGCCGACCTGGCCAGATGTCAGCCTCCACGGGGGGCTCTGCAGGTGCTGGACCACCTTCCCTCCCCCAGCCTGTACAGAGCAGAGACCAGTCCTGTCATGAAAGCTCTTGGTGCTGGCTCCACAGCCTCTCAGACCAAGACTCCAACGCACCCCAAAAGAGCCCAATGCCAGGCCCTGAGGGCCAGAGGCCACGGGATGTGGTCGCTGTCCGTGGTGCTGAAACAGCCCCATCCTGGTGTGCTCAGGGCTGGGGAGGGGCACTCACTGGGCAGCCTGGGGGTCCTACTCACCCAGGACCTAGGCTTTGTTGGAAACCATTCCAGGGTTTCTAATCCCACATCCTTCCTCATTCCCAGACTCTCAGCTGGTTAAGAAAAGCATGCCAAGGGCTGCTTGGAAGATGATGCTGGCCTGAGAACACGCTGTCCCTGGGCGTAGGCACAGGGAGGCCCCTTGTCCCGTGGGAACAGCCTCTCACCAAAGACAGTGGCTTCTAGGGTCCTGGAACGGGGTGGAGGTACTTGGGAACTAAATCCTCAGTATCACACAGCTGCCTGCACCCTGCCCCAACCTGCTGGCTCAGAGGCCCTGGGGCCCACAGATGAGCCATCTCTCATCCCATGAGTCAAGAGACAA